TCCACTAATTATATTGTTGGAACAAAATATATGAAGACTTGCGTTGGCTATGCAGAAAATTAGTAGCTGTTGGTCATCACGTTAAAGTCAGTAATAAAAAACTAAAAAACAATAAGCTGACAAAAATTTTATGTGAAAAATATTTGAGGTTTTAATGTACATAGGGTCAAGTTATATTTTGAATATTTTAATTTAGGTGTGTGTTTGTTTGCTTCAAGCAGCATGTCATTACTTAATAAAAATAACACAACATCTAGAAGCTTTAAACAGTAAGTAGTAAGCTAGATTGTATATAAATCAGTGATTCAGTGAATTTTTGAGTTAATAAGCTATTCAGTCTGGTGTAAGTGTGTGAGTTATACATCTGTTTGTCTGCAGTTCAGTTAGTCAGCCTGTTTATACTGACTGTTTTGTGACAAAATTCTGCAAGTTTATTTGTGAGTTATATGTACATTAGTTTTGAAATGATGTTAGTGAAGTTAGATCTACCACTAAATGCTGCCTATAGCAAATATTATTGAATAAATAAGTTAATGCATTATTATTACACTGACTGGACTTTTGAATTATATTTACTAAATAATCCAAAACAAACCATTCAATGACAGAACACATTACAATAACATTTAAATTTCTTTTTACATCAAGTTATGACTGCTATATACAAAATAAAAAAAATCAATAAAATTAATGTGTAGATATGTTGTGTTATTACATGAACTACTAGCAGAAACTAGTTCATAAAATTTTTAAAAAACAGAAGGTAAACAACCAATTGGCATATGGAAAGTCTTGGCTTTAATATGCAGCTCAGAAAATGGAATTACTTGAAAGAAAAACTGACATTAACCAGTGATCATCATATGAACCTGAAAAAAAGCCCAATCACAAGCCTTGTTTGTGAGAAGGTAGTCAGTGAGTTAGCTCTTTAGCTCAGTTGACTGAGCAGTTGCTTGGCATGTAGATTTCAGGTTTGATTGCACTCATTGATAATGCAGAATAGAATGACCATGACATCTGCAGTTTTAGATCTTCCACATCCTAGACTAAACATCAAACTATTGAAAGTATCCTGATTTTACTGTTAATACATCTTTAGGGCAGTAACTAAAACTACTTTACTCTGTATTAAATACAAAAGTTTCAATCAAGGATGGAAAATTTTGACAAATAGTTAAAGTAAAAAAAGGTAATGTTCACACTATTTTTAAAAACAAAACAAATCTTAGCAAGAAAACAATACAATTAAATTCTAAAGATGTGCACTTACTACTAGATGATATAAAAGTTTCTCCCTCATTTTTCACCAATTTGATATCCAGTAAAGCATCCTGCTCATCATCAGAAAGGGGTTCAACTTTCATCTTTAATACTTCTATGATTACACCTGTCTTTCACCATTTACATTCCCATCTGAAGCTTCTAGTTAGGCTACAAAAAAACAAGTTGAAAATGAGAACTTTCATTCTTTTACAGGGTTATTACAGTCTTCAAAAAGTGTAAAATCTCAAGAGAGATATATATACTGAGAACAACTTTGATGCCAAGCCATAAGCTTATATTTTTATACTACAACTTACAAGTTCTCTTTATTTGACATTGTTTAATTGTTTAACTTGTTTGAAAAAAACTGGGAAGCATCACCTAAAACTATCTTTGAAGCAGATTTTATACGTACCTTAAGCATGTATGTATGAATGTGATGACTGTGAAGTAGGGTTGTATCCCACTAAAAATGTTTTTCAAATATAAAATTATCCTGAAGCATGATACTATTTTAACTAGTGAAATACTAAATTTTATATCTTTATCCAATGTTGGACTTGAAATAATTAGTAGTTTCAATCTTTCATTCATTCCAGGTGAATGTTGCCCAGATTCAAAACTATTAAGTTTTTATTTTCCAACCTATATTCCCCTACCAATACGGGCTCGGTGTGATCCACCCAGCTCATAACCATGAGAGCAATTATACTATAATTTTTGATAATGTATGCATATCTTAACATAATTTTGCAGATTATTAGTAAACATTACAAGGCCTTCTTACACAAAATATCAGGTTTTTAAATTAAGTATTAAGATTTTTTTATTAAAGGTTTGCTTGTGAATTTTTTCTTTAAGAATATTGACTATCCAATGTGCAAAGTAATTTTGATTTTAAGATTAAAAATGCTTTTCATTATCTAAAAATTGTCAAGTTTCATTTGTGTAACCTCTATATCCTTCTAGGTAATCAACAAACATTTTTTTGAATAAAACTTTAAATTTAATCTGTTATTTTATCAATGCTAGCTCTATGTGATGTTGGTTGATTTGACTGACCTTGTAACCATCGTAAAAATTAGGAAATAAATCTATATTACCTATTTATTATTGTTCTAGAATAACTGCAAATTGTAATAGGAAACTACAAATGTTTATTCTAAATAGCTTAAATCTCATAACAGTATATCTCTATTTCTATTTATTAATTTTTGTTTTATTGACCTTAGAACCATGTTTGACTAAAAATACCCAGACACAATTTGAAAATTACACGGCACACGTGCAGCTCACGTTACTATATGGAATAGTGTAACACACAAGCTACTTGTGCATATACCCCATGAAAATTGTTATTATTTTTCTCTCATAACTTCACCTAATAAGTTTCTATTTTTTCCATTTTAGTTACTTTTATAATAATAAATAGTGAAAACAAATGAAAAATAAAAAACCTCGTAATTAAATATCAACCATTATTATTTTCAATAAAGCTTTATATTTTATCTATTATTTTTTTTACTGTAACATTATACTTGATTCTCCAGGTTGTATTTAAGTAATCAAAGTATAACGAAAATAAAGGTTGCAAATGCAAAACAAAATGTATAGTATTGTTAGTACTGATCACAAAATTTCAAAGTACTTGTGGTCAGAGTTTACATTTCTCACCTTTTCACACTTATTTTCTGTAGTTATTTTATTGCTAGCAGATGGCTCAGAAACTACAAGAAACAACGTAAAAGGAAGTTCCAAAGTAAATCTCCTGACAGTTTCTTCTCTCTTTTTTACACCTATTTCCTGTGTTTATTCTACTGTTAGCAGCTGAAGTAGAAACCTGCCAAATACAAAGCAATGAATTACCATTCCTGTTTATGTGTTACTGTACTTTGAGTACTTTGACATCGTCAATATCAAATAAGCTTTGCAGCACAAATCCTAGAAGCTTTCCTGCTTTGAAAACACAGTGGGGTAGAATTTATCAATTTGTTGACAGTATAAATGTTACAATGAGAATTGTCTAAAGTATTATAAAATAGTTATGCTACTTGTTAGGTATTTGAATGTTAGTCAATACGTGGATGAGTTTATTTGAAGCTCGGCTCTGAAAACACAGTGGGGTAGGATTTTTTGGCTTGTTTACACAGTACAGTAATTGCAACAAAAATTATCTAAATTCTCATATAAAGGTGAAAGAAAATATTTATGATATGGTCCTGTACAAAGTTGTATGTGATCCAATAAACTTGGGTAGTCAGGATTTAATGGTAATATAGGTGTGATAGTGCCTATGAACATCCTGTTTCCTATTTTACCATGCCTACACAGTAATCAATAAATGCATAGTTTCCAATATTTTGCAAGGTACAGTGAGGTTTGGGTTACTATACATTACATGTGTGTGTGTGTGTGTGTGTGTGTGTGTGTGTGTATATATATATATATATACTATTATTACTTATTAACTAAATAAATTAGTTATATTACTTAGTTTATTTT